TAATAACCAAGTTGAATCTTATTTTAGTTTTATTTGGAATTTCAATATAAGGAACACTTCCCATCCAAGCAAAATAATTATTTGTTAAATAACTTTGAATAGTTTGAATAGTTGGATATTTAAATAAATCATTTGAAGAACAATTCATAAAATTCCATTGATTTCTATAATATAAAAATGTTCCTTTTTGATTTTCCATAATAATTTCACATTGATTTAATAATTCATTTAAACTTAATTGTCTTCTTTGAGTGATAAAAAATAAATGATTTGTTGTTAGTGTTAATTCAATATTTCCTTTTAAAAATAATTTTTCATTTATTTCATTATTTAAATCAAGTGCTACTAAACCAATAGAGGTTTGATGAATATTAAATGTAAATGCGATTCCAACAACTTTGGGTTTTTCAGTAGATTTATTTTTTGATGTATAAACTTTAGAATAAAAAAGATTTGACAATACATGAATTTGTTCTTTTAAAACTAAAATACAATGAACTATAATTCCTGTTTCTTTAACTGCAAATATTTCATATTTATTTGGTTGTTGATGTGATAATTCTTTAATAATTTCCATTAAAAGAAGAATACCAGGTGTAACTGAATTAATATGATTTAATTGAATTGGAAATGATGTATTATATAAAACAATATCAACAATACTACTTTGAATTTCTTTAACAAATTCCATTATTTCTATTTGATTTGGTATTTGTTTTATTTCATTTAATTTCCATTGAATACAAGAAATTGTAATATTTTTTGTTATTTGATTTGAAATAAAAGTTGAACCACGACTAATTAATATTGGTGTTGAATTTGGTGTGTTAATTCCAATAATATTCATTAATGAATGAGCTTCAACAATTGATGGAATTTCATATTTTAATGCTTTACTATCAGTTGCACATAAAATAATAATTTGTTGAGGGTTGTCTTCACACATTTCACAACGAACAATATCATGAATAGGGATAGTTCTAGTTAATTTAGAATCATAATTATATTCTTTAAAAAAAGAAGAGTCTAAATGTAAATGAACAGTCTCTTGATTTTTAATATTATGATTATATTTTATTGCTTTAGGAATACATAATAAAACATTATCACATTTTTCATTCATCTAAACAATTAGTTTTTTTAAATAATTATAAAGAAATAATTATTAAACCAAACATTTTCTTGATCAAATATTATTTTTCCCATTATAAAATCTAATGTTTCTTGTGGCTTTTTATATTGGTCAGTTTTAACTGATATTATAGTTCTTTGAACACTAATTAATCCATCATTAATCATTCCTTTAATTTCCCTTTTTCCTTTTCTTGTAAAATCTGTTTTCATTGCATCTGTTTGAGTATATCTATAACTCATTACATTAGCATGATCAGCCCATAAATTCATAAAATTAGTAAGTTCTGAATTAGAAATAAGAGCGTTAAGTGGTAATAAAGTTTTATTTCCAAGAATAAGAGTTAACTGTTTACTTAATAAATATTTAGCAATTGAAGATTGAATAACATTAGTTCTATCCAAACAATCAATACAATTTGTTCTAATAATTCCTAATTGATTAAATACTTCTTTAGAATTATTAAAATAAAATTTATTATTTTCTAATATTGGTTTAATTTCTTCCATAATTATTTCAATGTTTTGATATTTTTTATTTGCACATATTTTATGAAAGTCAAATCCAAAGTATTTAATTGGAAGTAGATTTGCTTTAACAAAAAGTTCATACATGTCATGTAATTCTTTTTCATCTCCATTATTATTTAATAAATTAATAACTGTAATTTCTCCATACATTTCTTTTAACATATTAAAATGTTTAATTAAAACATCATTTTGTCTTGAATCTTCTACAAATTTTCCTCGTGGCTTAAATAAATCAGTTTCTTTTGTTTTCCAAATTAAAGGAATATTTCCACGTACTTGAATAAATGAACTATGTGTAATACCATCAGTCTAATTGATAATTATAACTTGTTAGATTATTAATTTATTAAGTTATTATAAAAAAATATATTTCTTTAACAAACAATAATTTGTTCTGTTTCTACAAAATTTGAAACATTTCCTGAACTATCAGCCCCACGTGAAGAAAATCTTAACCCTGCACGAGTTTTATCTCTTCTTGAAATTAATATGTATTGAATATTTTTTGTTGTTGAATTTATTAAAGGTATCGACTTAATAAATCCATCCATAAATACAACAATCCAATGTGCAAAATATGGTTGTAATATTGAGACTAAACTTTCATTCCAAAAGAATCTTGGGTCAGTAAATGTTGTTTCTTGTTGGTTTTGTAAAGTTAAAGTTATATCTAAGTCATATGAATAATACAATTTAAATGTCATTAACATTTCTTTTACTTTACTTACTTCTTCTTTAACAAATGATGATGTATTTTTCCATTGTTCAATTGGTAAAATTGGTAATAAATCAATGCTTAAAACTTCTAATATTTTTTTTTCTTGTAATGAGCATATTTCTTTATTTTCTTGAATTACAATAGCAAAGTTAATATTTTCTATTTTAATAAATCCCATTAGCTCAGATAATTGAAATGTTTGAATTACTTCTCCTTGTAATTTTTGTGTTGTTAATTGGTAACTGGTATATTCAATACTGAAATAATCTTTAATTCTTAAATTCTCAAAGACTACTCCATCACTTCTATAATTCACTAATAAGTGTTTCATTAGTTGTTTGGAAAAATGATCTTATTAAGTTACTTAGAATTTTTATGAAATGGATTTTTGTGTTATTCTATTCAATTTTTTTCTCTTTTTTTTTTTTCTTTAATTTATTTACTTTTATTCACTCTTCATATAAAATATGTGTTATTCTATCGATTTCAATAAAAAAAATAATATGTATTGTTTGTTTGAATTGTTGTTTTCTTCAATGAAACTTATTTCTTATCAAATTTTATAAAACTGGATTTTTTTTATCATAATATGTTTTAGACAATTTTCCTTTTTTTTTCAATATTTTTCAGCTTTAAAAAAAAAAACGTTGGGATGGAAACTTTATTTTTTTATGAGAATAAAGAATAATCTTTTTGGTTCATTAGTTGAACTATTCATTTCTTATTTGAAAGAAAGAATTTATAAATAAGTTCTAACCTAAAAATAAAAAATGTTTTAATTTTAAAATATCTTCAACTCTTATAGCCCACAAACACCAATTTTTCTGCATGTTTGTTCGGTATTGAAGGTTAAAGGATCCCTAATTTTTAATGCATGTTCAGCAATTTTTAATGCTAAGTTAAAGCAATTTGTTTGTTTCTCAGGAACAAACTTTTTACATACTTTTTTCATTTCTTTAAGAATAACACCATCCTCTTTTCTTTCAATAAGATTTTTCTTAGTCAATTCAGTTAATGTTCTACATAATGGACAATCACCTTTATCTTTACATTGATTTTGTTTTTTGATAAGTTCTTCTCTCATTTCAATAGCAATTCTTCTTAAAACTTTTTCACTCCATTTAATTCCTTCTCTACATCTAATTTCAATACCAATCAATTCATTTAATCTTCTTTCATTTTCTTTCAATCTCTCAATTACAATACCTTGTTTCTTAACATCTTTTTCTTGGATACTTTCAATAATTAATTGCCTTCTTTTCTTTTCAAGTTCTTTTTTCTCTCCTTTAACCTTCTTTATAATCATTTTTCCAATTACTTCAAATCGTTTTCCTTTAAAACCTGTTTTCTTCATAACTTTCTTTTCAAGTCTTTCAAGTTCTTTTAACTCTTCTTTATGGTATCCAATGCTTTCTTTCAAAGTATCAAGTTTGTCTTGATATTTTTCTTGGCTTCTAAAGACAGCAATATTTCCTCTAAGTTCTTTAGCTAATTCGTTTTCTTCTATTTCAATACTCTTAGTTAAAAATTCTTTCTTTTCTTTAATATGTTCTAAAGCTCGTGCCTTAAGACTAAACGATTCACGAGCAATCCAGAAATTCTTAGTCATTCTTAACTCACTTAAATTTTTTCTTAATCCTTGTAGCACATAATGAATACGATTTAATTTAGCATTTAATCCTTGTTTTTTAATATACCTAATTCTTTTTCTTGATTCAATCATACTTTTGATCTTTTGTTTTTCTTTTTCACTCATTTTATTTTTTGAACAGATTTTTATCTTCTCCTTTTTTGCTAATCTTTTTTTTTCTTTTTCAATCTTCTCTTTTTGTTTAAGTAATTTTTCAACTTTTTCTTCTTCATGTCTAATAATTTTACCAGTTACTTCTTCTAAAGCCACTTTCTTTCTTCCAAGAATCTCTTTCTTCTCAACAATTAAGTTACGGACTTTTTCCCATTCTGAATAAATACTTTTACTTCTTCTAATCAATATAACTTTTCTACCGACATCCTTACTTTGATTAATAATTCTCTTAAAGTAGTTAATTTCTCCTTGAAGTGCACTGAATCGTTCTTCAAGTTTAAATAATTGTCTACGGACGATACGTATCTCTTTTCTCAAAGATCGTTCTCTTTCTTTTTTCTCAATTATATCACCATCTCCAATTTCGTTAATACGTTTTTCTAAAAGAGATAATCGTTGTTGTAAGAATCTTTTACGTTCACTAAATTTCTTATTCCTCCTATTGTACTCACTAATAGAAATTCTTCCTTGGTTATTCTTTGAGTCAATCTCTTCTAGTCTGTGGGTGTAGTAATTAAGTTCTTGTTCATCTTCGTTAACCATTTTACGTAATAAAGAAACTTTAATTTCTTTGAAATTTGATAATTCTTTTCTTTGTTCTTCAACAACAAATTTATATCGTTTAACGGCTTCAACACTTTCATTTAACCTTTCAACAGCTTTAGTTTTCATAAATGAGAAATACTGAACTCTTTTATTTAATTGGTGTTGTACTGTAGGACAAATGTCTTGTCTTCCTTGCATATTTTTCCAGTACTTCATTTGATGATTCATTTTGGCAAGAATTTTTCTCATTTTCTTTTCTCTTTGTAAAGCATTACTAAGATCAATTCCAGCATTCATTTCTATAGCTTTAATCTCTCTTTCTTTCATATCTAAAATCTCTTCTTTATAACTTCTTTTTACATCAACTAATTTTTCTTTCAATTCTAAAATCTTCATCTCTGCATTTTTTTTCTTTTCTAATTTTCTAATCTTTTTTTGAATCTTCTTTATAAGGTGATGTGATTTATGTTTTTCATTTTTGATACTTTCTTTAATTAAGTTAACCTTTTCTTCTCTTTCTTTTTGTTCTCTTCTCCTTTTTTCAATCTCGTTGATTTGTCCTTTTATAACTTTTTCTCTTGCAACAGTAACATTATAATTTAATTGTAGTTGGGTATTATCTTTGTTACTATCTAATTGTGTTTTATAATCTTCAACTCTTTGTTGAATGGCTTTTAAAGTAAGTTGTAATTCCATCAATCTTTCTTCTCTTTTTTTCATTAATTCTTTTTCTTCTTTAACCATTTGAATTTTAATTTTTTCCCATTTATCAATTTCTTTTCGTTGAATAGCATTTAAGTCTAATTTTCGTTGGATTTCTATCTTTTTTTGTTTGTTTTTAGTGCCTTTTATCCGAATTTCTAACTGTTTACGTTCTCGTTCATTTCTTGAAATCTTTTGAATTTTCTTCATCGAGATTTCAGCTTCTATTCCAGCAAATTTTTGTTTAATATGTTTCTCTATGTCACTTAACATGTCTGAATTTAATGAAACTTGGATAATGTCATACTTAATACTATCGTCGATTTGTGCTTGTACACTTAATGTAACCAATAACAAAAGAATGATCATTAGTTTTTAATATTATACTTTTCTAGTTCCATCTCTTTATTTTTTTTTCTTTTCTTCTTTTTCCTAAAAATGTCTTGTTGATTTTTGATTATTTTTTGTGTTTTTCATAAAACAGAAAAAAGACTCTTATTGTGAAATAGGATTATTAACTTAAACAACCTTCAATCAAAAGTGATTTGCTTTACTTAGAGTTTATTTGTTGTATCTCGAGTACTACAAACAAAGGTAAGGTATCAAACATAGTGTTTTCAATTATAAATATATTAATTCTTTTTGGTTACTATGATGATTAAGATAATAAGTCATAACAATTTAATATACTGATTCTTTAATTATAGTTTAAGTTATTAGACAGACACATATCAAAGAGTTCTTGTTTTAAATAAAGACTCTATTTTTAATAAATAATCCAATAAATAATTTTGTATTAGAATACCAAACAAAACAAGGTACTATTATAAAATCTTAATGTTGAATGTTTATTCAGACTGTATTTGTTTAAATTAATTTATATTAATTTCATAATATTTTATTATTATTTTTTGATTGTATTTACTTTTAATAAGTATTAAATCAATGTACTGAGTTTAATACTAAAACATATTTCATTCTATTGTTTATTTAGTTTCAATGTTATATCAATGTTGAAAATTGTTTAACCATTGGTTTGGTATTCTTGTATTTAGAAAATAAAAACACAATTTCTCAGAGAGAATAATCAACAAAACAATAGTATAGATCAATAAACTCTTTTATTTCAATATGTTCATCAGTCACTCAAAATGTTATTTAATAAATTATTCAATTATTGTTAGATAATAATTCTTATTATCAGATCCTACTCATTCAATAAATAGAATTGCTATTATCTAATCAATAAAATAAAAACATTTAATCACTATTCCGTTACTTATTGAAAAGAGTGTTTGTTTTAAGTCAAGTTGTTGTTTGATAAATACTCATATAAACATCTTGAAATTGAATTTAATTCTTTAATTTTCTTGTTGTATTCAAACCAAGTAATCACTCAATTCACTAACACACAACCTCCTTCTTGGTGAGATAGAAATTTATTTTAAATACTTTGATATTTAGTAAATGATGTTATTAGATAAGATTGAAGTTATTTATGTTTTGATAAGATTTGAATGATAAGAATTATTTGGTATTCAATGAAATTATATTTTCATTAAACATTTTCAATAACACTCATTCTGTAAAACAAATAAGTTAATAATTATAATTGAATTCCATAGGTAGTGAATAAATTAAATACAAGTAATTAAATGAAACAAGATTATCTATTATCTTCTAAATAAAAAAAAAACAAAATATAAAACTATAATAAAAATGGTATAAATGATAAAATATTTTAATAACAAAATTAATCAAGAAAATAAAACAATATTATTCCAACTAAAATTTAAATAAAATGAAAATTATTGTTATCCAAAACAATAAAATAAACAATAAAATAAGAAAATTGAGTAACACAATAAATAAAATGACTTTGTCATATTGTTTTTTTTATTTCTCACTTTTCACTGAATAATGTCATTTTAATATTCCACTTTCTTAATGTCAGACCAAAGCTTATTGTTAACTGAAAAGGATCTTATTGTAAATGGAAAATATGACTTATCTATTTTACAAAACCATTTTTCACATGGTGGGATTCTTGATCCAAACACCGTTGTGAGTCTCATTAACAAAGTGACATTATTACTAAATGAAGAACCAAATTTGATTCAAATAGATTCTGACTCATTAGTTTTTGGTGATATTCATGGTAATTATTTCAATTTTATTAAAATCCTTAATGACCCCCAATGGGATAAATACCCTCATGTTAAAATCTTTCTTGGAGATTATGTTGATAGAGGTAAATGGTCAACTGAAACAATAATCACTTTGTTGTGTTTAAAATATAATAATCCTGACAGGTTTGTTAATTTTTTTTAATTAAAATGTTTTATTTAATACTATCACTTGTTGTATGAAGAAAGAGTTGTGGTATTTAAACAATAGTATTATTTTGTTACGTGGAAATCATGAATCATCATCAATGACTCATGTTTTTGGGTTTGAAAGTGAATGTTTGTGGAAGTACAATAGAAATGTATATATGGAATTCATTAATTTGTTTAATTACTTGCCATTATGTGTTTTATTATTACAACCAATTGGTACATTCTTCCTTTGTCATGGAGGAATATCACCATCACTTCGATATTTCAGTCAAATACTTCGCATCAATAGATTTAGAGAACCACCAGAAGATGGATTATTTTGTGATTTATTATGGTCAGATCCATTACAGTATGAAGTGTATGAAGATAAGTATGAACAAGGATTAATTGATGAAGATTGGTATGAAACTACATTTATTGACAATGATAGTAGAGATTGTTCTTATTTCTATGGATATGAAGCTGTTGTTCAATTTCTTGAGTCAAATGAAATTAGAGCTATTATCAGAGCACATGAATGTGTTGATGGAGTTCAACAACATGACTTTGAACATGAAGATGGATCTCCATTAGTATTTACAGTTTTCACTTCACCTGGTTATGATGGTGCAAATAGAGGAGGAGTTTTATTTGTTGGAAATGATGGAATGAAAGTTAAATTATATAGTAATATTGAACCTGAATTTAAGAGTCCAATTTATATTGATGGTTTTAGATTATCTATGCCATATTTATTTGATAAATTACAGATAGCATGTGACCAATTAATGATTCTCATGTTTAATGTATTGGATGATGATATTGAAGAGGATCTTAAAGAATATTCAATTAGTTCTAATGAAAGTATAACACATTCAGTTATTCTAAATAAAGAAGAAGATAGTGATGAATTTCAAGAATCAGAACAAGCTGATCCACTTGATCAATTATATAAAGAAATCAATGAAGAAAGTCTATTAAGTTCTACTCAGTCTAAAAAAGATGAAAATGATTTATATAATCAAGAAGAGAGTGAAAGTAGTGATGACGAATTTAAAAGACAATTAAGTTTACTTCAAAAACGCCAACCATCAGTCAAATCAACAAACAATCCCAATGAAAAGAAAAATAACATCATTAGTATTGCCCCACCAAAGGAAAATTCATTAAATAAAACTATAGATCAAATGACTATTAACCAATTATCAGTTGCTTCTTTGCCTAATAGTAGTATTATTCTTGGTTCGTCTAATGAAAAAAATAAATTGTTCTTATCTTTAACTACTCCAGATAAAAAGAAAGGATTCTTTAGGTATAAATTCAATAAGAGAAATGAATCAATTCCATTGTCTTTATCTCAACTTAGAGATGAATGGAATAAATCACTACAAAAAGAGTCTAAGGATTTTAGTGATTCTAAAGATTCGAGAAATGGTTCTAAATCAAGTTCATTAGGAAGTTCTATTTTCAAAGAAAGATTCTTTTAACCTTTATACTCGAATCAACATCTTCAATTCAACAAATGAAGTGATGTAATTCATTTATTATTTTTAATATCTTTCTTTTAACTCATACTGTTTTGTTGAATTTTTTAAATCATAACTATTAACTATTTGGTACTTAATCTTTTCTTGTTATTTCTGTTACAATTATAATAACAATGAATTTTATAATACTCTAATAAAATAATTACCAATCATAATGTAGTTTAAGACTTATATCAATTGAACAGCATGTTATTATTACAAACAAGATCTAATTTGCTAAACTATTCCAATTATTTGATAGCGTGAATATCTAATGACTTACCTTTGTTTTTATAAAAAGAAAGTAACAAGAAACAAAGTATGGTGTATGTGATGAATTAATAATTATTTATATTGTGGATATAGTTACTTTCTTTTAAATAGAAATTATATTATTTTCAAGTAATTTATATGAAAAACAATTAAAAATAAGTAATTTACTATGTAATTTATGATAATATTTTTAGTAGAATTATGAGTATTGTTTCTAATGATAATAATTGGTATCAAAACCAATGTATATGGTATCAACAATAATATCTGTATTTGATATACTCAACTACTTGAAAATATACTTGTACTTTAAATCATTCAAAATAAATCATTATTTATCTAAAATACAATAAACATATGTTAATATTTTAATTGGTCATTATTAATACAAAATAAAGCTTGTACAACGATTTAATATTACCATATAAAATAGAATTTCTATTCATAAAAATAACAAATTTTGTTAATATACTTATCTTTTGATAAATTTGATAGACTTACTTTTGAAACAAAAATATTTATAATACTATTTTCCAACAACTTGATTCTCATTATTTTGATAGTATTCATTCTTAAATATATTAGATGTATTTTTAGAAATGATTTTGTATTTGTCAATAGAATATTTTGATAAACGAGAAAAGATATTCACGTTTTAAACTTGTTATCCATTAAAATACTATTTTTTTATAAGATATGTTAAAATGCAAAATATTGTATTAAAACTATTTTGATTTTAATAGCTTTAATTTAATACAAATAATTGTATTATTTATTAGTTTAATATATATATATAAATTATTATGTATTCTTTGATTATATTGATTCATACTTCATACAGTTATTATTCTTGAATTTATTAATTATTCATTTTCTATATAAGTTATACCATTTTTATTAAAATAAAACCTATAATTTCTAATGAGTGTAATCAATGTTATTTATTTAATAATCAATATACTTTTACACACTCTTATTTAAATCAAATTTCTTGATTAAAAAACATAAAATTTCATAAAACAATTTCAATACATTTGATTTACTACAACAAATTATTTAATTCAATATTTCAATAAATTTTGAAATGCATATTCTTCTTAGCCAATTATTTCAATAGCTATTTCAACATTTTGTTTATATTTTATTATCATAAACGTCAAATATTTTAAATATCCTTTTAATGAAACATTAACATGTTTTCTTTTTATTTGTTATTTACAACATTTACATATACGATAGATTACTACCCTCTTTTCATTTGATATATTCTTAACACACTATTCGTTATTCTCTTTTTTATGTATAGATAAATGTCTATTCATAAATTTGATACATATGTATAACTATCAAATTTATTGGTATCTTTTTTTTATTGTAAAGATATTACTATATTACATTTGATACCACCTATATTATTTCTTGACTTAACATTATCTTGACTATTATTTTATTAAATATTACTCACGTATAATATAACTCATTCTGCAATCATTTTATGATACTTATTCAGCCACTTGTAATTATTATAAATGTTAACAACCCAAAATATTTATTTTGTAAAAACAAAAAAAATGAATAAATTAACTTGTTTTAACATGTCTGTAAACAGAAAAACCATAAAGTTCAATAAAATTTTTAATCTCACTTAAAATATAAAATGACAAAAAAATAAGTAAATAAATAAAACAATTATTTTTAAATAACACAAAAATTTAAACAACTTGATATGCATCATTAAGTAAAAATAGTTATTAACATTTATGAATTCTATTTTAAGAATTTCTTTTTGATGAGATAATCGTCGTTAATTCAACAAGATTAATTTTAGTTATATATAACTATATTTGAAAGAAACATTATAAGTACCCAATCCGGGATTTAAAATAAAGTTGAAAAGGGATTTTAAATTTAGTACAAAAAAATGGTATTACATCGGTGAGAAAATTAACAGAAAAAAAACAAAAAAGAATGATATACCGTGAATAAGATAAGAATCTTCTGAACAATCTTTTTTTAACTTAAACAAGTTTCTTTTCAAAACAAACTGATAATTCTAAATATAATAAATGGAAATTGAATTAACCCTCCTTGGTGCTAAGAACATTGTAGCCAATAATTTTGGAGGAACAAGTGATGGGTATGTCAAGTTTGAAACTCGTGCTAATAAACAATTAAAAACAAAAATTGCAGCATCAACAGTTAATCCAATTTGGAATGAAAAATTTGATATTATTGCTGAACCAAAAGAAGAAATAATATTTCATATTTTTGGTCATGACTTAGTAACAAAGGATGGTTGTTTAGGAGATGCTGTTTTAGTAGTACCTGCAATGGCAAATGGAGAATATTGGCATGACTGTATTCCTATTTCAAAGAAAGGGTTTTTATATGTTTCACTTCATTGTAAAAAAGGAGTAACATCTTCATTACAACATCCATTTGATCCAAATGCTGATATGGTTATAAGGATAGATTTTATTAGAGCAATTCATTTAGGAAGGAATTCAACGACTCCACAAACAGCAAAACTTGTAATTAAAACACCAAGCCAAAAAGAACAAGTATCAAATTTATTTACATTTAACCTAACAACAAACATAGGAGAAACATTCATTTTAAAATGTAAACCTGGAGAAAAAATGGATATTAAAATTAAACAACCAGGTATTATTTCTTCACATTCAAGTGTAGATAAAACTTCTTATATAATTCCTGATATGAGAGAAGGAGAAAAATCAGAAGAACACCTTCCAGGGAAAAAAGGATGTACTTTGGATTGTACTATTCAATGTATAAGAAGTGTTTATCATAATGTTATTCCCCGATATATTCCAAAAGATAATGATATTAATAAAGATAAAGATATGAAATTTTATATATATTTTGTTCGTGCTAAAAATATTATTGCAAATGATTTAGGAGGAACAAGTGATGGTTATGTTAAATTTAAAACTACTCAGTCAAAAGAAAAAAAAACATATGTGTTCTCTCCTTCAATTAATCCTAGTTGGAACCAATGTTTTAGAATTACTGAATCAATTGGAGAAGAAATTGTATTTCATATATTTGACCGTGATACTTTTACTTCAGATGATTCTCTTGGAGATGCTAAATGGAAAGTTGAACAATTATTAAATAATCAATGGAAAAAATTAGAACTAGAAATAAATAAAAGAGGAAAATTATACCTTGAAGTTAAAAGAGTTAGAACTATTAGTGAGACTTATAAACGTTATCTTAGTTCTCAACAACCTTATTCGCAACAATCCTCTATTCAAATAGAACATCCTGTACCACAATACCCTCAAAGATATCAACAACTTACAGAAGATTTTTCATAACATTTATTTTTTGTTTTTCTTTTTATTAAATCTATTCTATTTCTTCTTTTTTTTAAAAACATATTAATTATATTTTTTTTTATTTCAAAGAGATTAAATTTGTTATTTCATTAATTCTTATTTCTATGTTGTTATATGAGTTAGTTATTAATTTAATAATGTTTATTTCTTGATTTGTTTTTTTTTTATAAAGATGTAATTAATTCTGTTAAAAATAATCCTATTATAACTATAATTAAATATTTAATAATATTTAATAAAAAAATAAAGTTTTTTATATTTGTAAAAGTTAAAATCATTAAAAGTAATATAATAATGATATTGTCTAGTAACACTTTTTTTCTCATTTAAGTTATACTTAAAAAACAAGAAGAAGATAACTTAAAAAATAAATATTTTCTTTAGTGAAACAAAATACATGAAAGATGTATTGTAATTTGAAAAAGAATATATAATGAAAAATAAATAAAAATAAAACTCTTTAAGAAAAAATACAAATCATTAAAAAATAATAACTAACTTTTTCAATTTGATAAAAGGATTTGTTATAAAGAATAATAAAAAAGTTACGTTTTAATTTTAATAATAATAAATAAAGGTATGAATATTTTTATTTATGTTATTAAAACAAAATAAAATAGTTTTATAAAATAAAAAAGAAATATTTTTAATAATATTGATAAAAGTGATTAATTATTAACACAGAGTTAATTAGATTTTACTTCAATAGATGCATCCCATAATGAACTATTATTATTGTATTCTTTTTCACAAGCAACAAGAGTAGATTCAATTTCATTTAAAGTAGGACGAGTTTCAGGTTCTTTTAAAACACATAAACGTAATAAAGTAGCTAAACGAGGAGGGGTTGGAGGAGGAATAACAGGACGAAGATTAGAAGAAACTATCTGATTCATAATTTGAGGTTCTTTTAAATTTTGAATAATATATTCTTCGAAAGGTTTTGAATAAACATTATAAATACATTTATAAACTAATTGCCATAAAATAATACCAAAAGAATATATATCAGATTTATCTGAAAATAATTCATTTGAAATAATTTCAGGAGCAGCACATAAACCATTCATTTTTTTAATTTTTTCTGATTCAATTCCTAATTCAAATAAAGCGAAATTACTTAATTTAATAGTATAAACATCATCATATTCATTATTATCATCAATTTTTTTCTTTACAATAAGAATATTAGAATCTTTAAGAATTCTATGTAAAATTCCTTGTTTATGTAAAAAACTTATTGCATCAATAATTTGAATTGCTAAATCAAATACTAATTTCCATCCAATAGTTTGTCTTTGAAGAAGATCCATTAAACTTCCATTATCACAGTATTCCATTATTAATGCTTTTTCTTCTTCAAGAACACCAAAATATTTCATTAATCCATTACATTGTTTTAATGTTATTAATATTTTTGAATTTTCATTAAATAATTTAACGTTTGTATTAGATCCTTCAAATGTTCTAATAACAACTGTATTTGAATTGTTTTCTTCTAATATTGCAGTAAGTATTGTTCCAAATTCAACTTTTCTAACTTCTCCAGTATATTCACATGTTTCTTTTTTTCTAATCCATCCTTTTTCTGGTATTTCTCCTTCAAACAAAGTTCTTTTTGAAGGCATTTCTTTAATAGCCTTTTCAGGATCAATATCTTTTATTAATTTAAAGTTTCTAACTAATTTCATTTGTTCTTCATTTTCAGTAATTCCCATTTGAAATAAAATTCTTGGTGAAACTTTTGCTAATGTCCATTTAAACATTTTATTCTTAACAAGAAGTTTAATTGAAATTGGATCTGCACCAATATTTTCAAGGTATTTAATAAGTTCTAATATATAAATAAATGTTCTTGCAAATGCTGTTCCTTTATATTTATTTTCACAAATAGATAGTGGTGTTTCTCCTTGTTTATTTGGTATGTTAATATCCGCTCCATAAAGTAATAAAATTGATAATAAATCTACTCTTTGCATATAAACTGCCCAGTGTAATGCTGTTTGTCCTCCTTCTGTTTGAAAATTTACTAATGCTCCATTTCTAAGAAGTAATTCAACAAGTAACATACGAATTGATGGATTTTGAATTGCTCTGTGAAGAGGTGTTTCGTGAAGTCTATTTAATGCATTAACATCTGCTCCACGTTTCAAGAACATATTAAAAGCTTCACTGCAATTTGGATTTCTAAAATATGAACAAAAGAAATGAAGAGGAGTATTTTCATCTAAATTTTTTATAGTTACATCAACATGACTATTATTTAATAATGTCAGTATAATATGTTCGTTATTATATTCTATGGCGGCTGTATGAAGAGCTGTATTCCCAAGATCATCTTTTTGATTTATTGAAGCTTTAAAATGTTCTAAACAATAAATCACAAGAAATAAACTATTCTTTTGAACTGCAGAAATTAAAGGAGTTTGATCTTTTGATAATACTTTTTCATCTTCTTTTTCTCTGTCTTGGAATAAGTAACATGAAAGTGTAATAGTAGGAATAATACCATCTTTATATTTTAATTTTTCACTAATAACATCTTCTTTACAGTCATTTGATGTTGATGTTTGATTGTCTTTATTAAATGGATCTAAAACAAGTTCAATACAGTGATGAGTATCATATGGTAATAAACTGTTTAAAAGTATTTGTCCAGTATATATTTTATTTGGTTTATTTCTTTCTTTATTATGAAATTCAATATCAATAACATTAGAATTAGTATCAATCCCAGTAAATTCAATTGTATTTGACGGTGGTTTAGGATAAATATTAACAGTATTTCTATTAACTTTTACTCTTTTCTCTTTCTTATTTATAAGAAATGTAAAAAAAGCTTCTCCTGGTGTGTTATTAACAGAAAATAAATTCATTGCTTTTGTTAATTCAATTCGTATTTTCCTCAAGATTGTTTCACCTGAAGAAGGACTTGTCATTCGTTTATTTTTTCTATCTCTTTTGAGTTACTTTTTTAATTTCTCTTTTTTTTTTTATTTTTTTTTTAATTTTGTTTTTTGTACTTATTAAATATCATTATCTCTTCAACATTTCATTATTGTTTTATTTATCTTTTAATTTAAATTTATTTGTACTACTTTTTATCTCTTATCTTTTTTTTGAATGCTTTGTTCTTTAACGTTTATACTAATTGTTTGGCTTTTGTTTTTTTTTCTGATAATAATATGATTTATTTGATTATTATATTAGTTTAATATGCTCTTATAGTTTATCAATTAGTCTTTTAATTTAAAACTAATCACAAGGCATCATAAGATTAAATGATAAGAAAAGAACATTGAAAAGGATTCTCTTAAATAAAACAATAAAACTAAATAATCAGAAAAGAAAATTAGAAATAAAAGAGAGTTACTTTATTTGTGGATAAGACTTTTAATGATTTATAAAAGAAACAAATTGATTAGAATCAATCTAATAAGAAGATTGACAAAAGAATTATCATACCATTAAAAGAGTAAATAAAAAAATAATATAAGAATAAAATAATTGAATTAAAGAAGAGGGGAATATTTTGTATATCGACAAATACTTGTTGGTTGAACCATAAATCCATTCTTTGTTTTTTTCAAATTGATAATACATTTTTTTCTTCTTGGAATATCTTGGTTCTTATGAAGTACTCTAAACTTAGTTGACTTTACCATAGAATCAAATAATTTACTGTCACTCCATGGAGTTTCACACCACTCATTAAATGATATTTCAAATGCATTATTAACATATGTTGAATCTTCATAAATAAGATCACTCCATTTAATTCTATTTCTACGTGTTTCTTCAGTAGCTTTACCGATATTTAAATACAATACACTAACGTCTTGAATATCAGCACTTAGTACTTTCTCAAAAATATTTTGGAAACTACCAAAATAAGGAATACACGGATTTCCTAATTCTTTCATTGCAGTAATTAAATTAGGATATGAACCATCTTTTGGGTCAGTTAATTCATTAACCCAATCTCTAAGTTTATTCATATCATTACGAAGTTTTGGTTTCTCGAATTTATTTAATCTAAAAGAAGAAAACCCAATAGAAAGGCCCAAAGTTGCGAGGAGGTTATGTCGTAACCAATACAATTGTGAAATTATCTCAATAAAATATTCATGAAATTCTTTATTTAATAATGGTTTTTGAACGCTTTCATATAATGATTGAGAAACCCAATATGCTAAGATATCAACTTTCTTTTTTAAATCAGTTGCTCCAATTCCTGCTCTTCTCATTTGTTTTGAATAAAAAATTGCACGTGGTGGACATTTAGTAAAAATACCAACATGTGCTTCAGTTAATTTTTGTGCAACGAATCTAGGATTTAATAACAAATAAAAGTATTGTGGTGGATATCTCCAAATACATCTTTTAAAGAGTGGTAGTTCATACTTTTCTTTCATTGATAATAATGAAGCATTAACAGTCCCTCCATTTTTATGAACCTTTAATAACTCTTCATAAATTGAATAAAGTCCACTCATATATTTACTTTCAAATGCTCTTGGAACTTTACGCCAATTTTCTAAAAGAAATCCTACATTAATAACTTTACGTTCATCCTCTTTTATTAAGTGAATTAATGATGCAAAAAAATCTTCTTGAGTAATTTTATACAATAAAGGAAGCCATCCATAACAATGAGAATAATTTATTTTGTTTGTAGAATAATTATCAAAAAATGTATTTGGTGCTTTAGTCATATTGTCACAATATTCATTGTATTCAGTTTGAAATGGAGGACTGTTTTGTATTTTTAAATTCTTTTTAATAAGTATTTTGCATTGATCAAGTTTACTCTTCCAATCATTGTTTTGTTCTTGAATAATTCGTTGTAAATTAATAAATTGATCTAATAATGTAAACAGTGTATAGCTATTCTCATCAAATTTAATTGGTGAGTATTCAGATAAAGTTCTCTGTGGCTTAGTTCGTGGAGATAATTCAGGATTTGACGAAGTCATTGACAGTGCTCCTTCAGTTTGGGTATTTAAACTATCTTCACTTGTTTCATTCGGACTTTGTAAGTTGGAAGTAATAGTAATTTTTGATTGATGATTTAAATAAGCATTACTAAGACTTTTTATTACATTTTCTAAATGAAGTAAAGAAAACACAATAGTTTCTATCGTAATCAATAAAATAAGACAATCCCAATGATCAAAATTCATAGTTAATGATGTTAAAATAACTTCAGTAAAGTGTATTAAATCTATGAAAAGATTGTTAATTAAATAATGAAGTCTAACAACAATAACACAATTA